CACACACACACACGCACGCACACGCAGATACAGGAGATGCAGTTGATCGTTTCTTCCTCTAAACCCTAGAGCCCTAAGGCCCTAGGGACTTAAAAGAAAGTAACACCAAGAAATTCCATGCTCTTTTTGGGGCCCTGAAGCCGGCGATCCCAGTCTGGAGATCCTCCAGAGTGTAGCAGACAGGCAGAAACGACCAATGGAAGTTTAGAGTCACGGGAAGGCCTCTGTGCCTCCCAGAAAGCCAAAGGCCTGAAACCCAAAAAGGGGACGAACTCCTCAACCCCGGAAGCCCGAAAAGTCGTATAAACGGCCCGCAACCCTAAATCTGCCAGTTCGCGACCACCAAAAACCTCAGTTTGAGAGAAATCCAAATCCACTGCGAAGGGCGGCATCGGCACCCCAAACGAGTGCATCGATGCCCGCGGCCCAGCAGACTCAGACGGCCAGATGTTGGATGGACGGGAGAGCTCAAGGCTGTATAGCATGATTCACAAGATTTCAGATTGAGCCCGCGCGCGCTCGGATTTCAGGGTTATCTCTTGCAGATGTCTACGTGTAATGACCGAGAGCTTCGGGGTTTGGGGGTTGGAACGCTTGCTTCCTCCGGAGAGGTCTAGGTGAGAAAAATAACACCCACTATCCAGAGTGCCCGGGGTTGTGTGGCCGTGTGACTTCTCTGACACAATAGTCTATGGAAGCATAACTTCCGAAGCCCCAAACCCCTGGTTTTGGGTTCAGGGTCTGGGGTTTAGTTTAGCCATTTTGCCCTACATGTCCGCAACCCTCAAGCAAGAGAGTCGGAATCTCGAGGGGCTCAGCCGGACACCCGACCAGCCTGAAGCCCGAAGCCCGATGACCCTATGTAACACTAGCACCTTACTGCTCATGCGATATGACCCGAACCCTCAACACCAAGTCCCGACACACCGAACACCAGAGCCCTGCACCCTAGAGATCAAGCTATTGAACCCACCTGGACACAAGGCTTGAGCAGTTTCTGACAGCATTTATTCGAAGACTCCAGGATGTGCAAAGTTGATGGTGCTTCCCGTTGATTCCTTCAGACTGAAGCAAAGCAAAGCATGAGAGACTTCAACTGGAAAGTCAAAATCAACAGCCGCACCCGTTTGCCAAGGAAGGCAAGGGCGAGAGGGGCAGTGATGCCTTCTGGTGGCCACAGGACGGATGCCCTGATGCTCTTGAACATTCTTGAACTATCGGAACTTGTCACTGGCATGCCTTTTCTCGAGTGGCTCTGGTTGGCGTCTGGTCTATGTACTGGACTATGGTTAAGCAGTGTCAGTGTGTTCGCGAATCCTTCCAAACAGGATGCAGACTGCAGCACGCCTCGCATCCTTTACGCCAGGAGCTTGGACCTCCTTGCGGTGCAACAGTTGGTGCTTACTGTCATAACGTTTGGGTGGAAACGGTCTAGGGGTCAGCTGACTCGCACATGGGTTTGAGGAGGCTCAGTGATGCCCCTTTAGCAAGCATGGCATCATCGAAGCCGTGCATCCGAAACTCCGCCGGCCAACACTGGTGAGCCCTGGAAATTCTGGAAGTCAGGTGCACGGAGGCGGCTGGCAGCGGCACGGCCCCAGAGAGGTCGGCCAGGGAAAGTTCTGTAAATGGTGCCTCGCTCCAGTTTTTGTTTTAAGGGTTTGATAGATTTAGCGTCCACATTGCCAAAAATGCATGGTTGTTCATGGGCTTTCGTTTGTGCATTCTAAAGATTCAGACGTAGGGTTCAGGGCTGTGGGGCCAGAGGACATAATTTTGCCTTCGGGGACTTGCACCGGCCGATCTAGTCCTGACGGGGACCGGGGCAGCATGGAACCTCTACTTGGGTTCTACAGAGCTTTGGGCCAGGTGCCGGAAACTGGGGCTCAAGCCATGCTCCGGCAGGCGTCGACATGTAAGCGGCATCGAATGCTTTGATTCGGGAGCAGCTGAAGCTAGCCATAAGACCAAGGTCAGAATGTCAAGCGAGTGAGCTTGGGCGGAACAACAAAATAAATGGAGTCAGTAGTAGTTAAAGCAACGGCTTCGACAGGCTGGATGCTCAAAGTGGTTGGCCAATCGGTGCCGTTGCTATGTTTGCTGCTGGCGACATACATCCTGATCCTCTTCGGTGGGTCGTATTTCTCGGCGCCCGCAAACGGGCCTTTGCGAGTGGAATGCCATGCCAGTGGCCAGTGCCAAATGCTGGCCACTGTTGAGGCGGACCCGCTTGCCACATACTTCGCGATTTTTGACATGCTCTTCGCTGCCTTCCTGCTCGCCTTCAAGATTCATTTCGATCCGAGGCATTGCTTCGGTCTTTGTTGGTGTGAAGTCGCTCTTGGCGCAGCTGCCTTGTGCCTGCGCAGAGCTCGCACCATAGACATGTCTCAGCTGGTCGAGGAATTGGCTTCAACTGGTGCCAGCGGCATTCCTGCCACCGTTCCGCTTGACGGCTGTCGGCGTTTTGTTTTCTCGTGACTTTGGCTGTTTTGACTTGTCTCAATCCGTGGCATGGCCGGCGCCCTCCAGGTTGGCAAACTGGGCCGCGCTATATGTGGAGCACCTTCAGCTGGAGACAGCATCGATGTCAGGTGCCACCCCTCCAAAACAAGAACGCCCGATCATCAGCAAACCTTCCGTGGGAAAATTCGTTGGGGAGGGAGGGTGCCACTTCTATCATCCACGAAGGTCGACTCAAAGGCCGCACGGTTGCCGTGAAGGCATTGAAAAAGCGAAATCCGAAGAAATTCGGACGTTGACCGGGGAGCACACTGTCTTGCGGAAGCTGCATCATCCGAACATCATCCAGCCAATCGCCTGCATCTGCAACGAGTACATGGGGCTCCTGGCGTTGCCCATGTGCGGGGCGGACTCGCCCTCGTGCATCCAACGCGGGCTGATCTCGTATTCAAGTTTGCGGCCTTTAGCTGCTGGCACGCTGTCAGCTTTTTCATGCGAAGTCAGGCATTGTGCCATTTGGACGTGGAGCCCGGTAACATCCTCCGCTTCCAGACGACCTATGTCCTGGCGTATGACGGGCGCAAAGCTGACATGTATGCGTTGGGCGTGACTATTTCCGAAGCCAGTTGGAGATTTACGCCATTTGAGTTTGCGAGGGTGGCCTGTGGTTGAAAGGATGATGTGTTGCGAGGTGACCCGGCCCACCGCCGCAGTCATGTTAAAGTGCTTGAGGTTGGCCCTGCCGCCGACAGCAGTCTGACCTCCAATCTCCAGCATTTAGGAGAAAATCAAGTTGGAGGCATGGAGGTAATTGATTTTGTAGTGCACGCCAGCATCCTTATTGTGACGAGCTAAGCCGGACTGTGATTTCATGAGTCTTGGATTAACTAGGCTATTGTATCTTTGTCTGTATGGGGGGCCCGGGCTCTGGCTGACACAACATGGGGACTGCGACGACGATCTTAGTGGGCCTGTAAACTGGCTTAGGTTTTTTCCAGTGTTGTATTATGGTTTTTGTTGCATGTGACAGTGCATTATGGTTTGTATGTTGTGTGAAGTAAGACTGGCAGCCCCTGCAGGCTTCAGTCGCTTCCGCACCTAAGCCCTAAACACGGTCAACACAACGAACTTCTCGGAATTGCCACCAAGCGGTTTCAAAATCGATGCAGACTAAAACTGGCAACACTGAGAATCAAGATGACACCTGAAGTGCCTACACCCCGAGGTGTCCAGCATTTCTTACAGCCTGACATCCAAGAGAGCGAAGCCAATGTACGTTTCTGTACTCAACTTAAGATCCGCGATTCCTGAGTCGTAAATCCTGAATCTGACATCTTCAACCCTCGCGGAGCCTTGCATGCTGCAGGCATCCTACGATGTCTTTGGCGCCTACCTTGCTCAGGCGATGTGCCATGCAGTTGCGGATTTCAACGGGCCTGAGTGCCAAGGGTTTGGGGCCAGAAATTAAGCCCGAGAGGGCCCAAACTAGCTTCAGGGTTTTTCCCTGCATCACGTCAAGCCGCTGATGTTTTTGGGAACCTTGTTCAGCACCTCCATATCGACCTTGGCACAATCTGGGTTCAAAGCGCAAGCTAAGCCATTGGCTCCACAGTTTGAGGGCTGCTGAACCTCAAAGGAAACACATAAAGGCACCAAACAACGGTATCAAACCATCTGCACGACCCAAACCCTAGACTGCTTGACAACATCCAAAACTGTCATTATGCCCAACCTAGAGAACTCCAAGCCCGTTTTCCAATAGCTTCCATTGGGAGTTTATCCGGGGTTCGTACGATTATGACTCTAGCAACAAAGAGCATTTTGGCTTCCTTGCTAAACCCTCTAAACTCCACAAGGTTTGGGATGGTTCTCGCTGATGGCTTTTACGAATCGTCGTGGTTTCTTACAGGGTTCGGTATCCGGCCGTAGGCTTAGTGTTCAGGGTCGAAGACTACAGGATTCAGGATTCGGAGCTGTCATCTTGGAGTCAATACTACTGCATCCGCTGGTTCGTCGGCCTTTGCCGAAGGGGCGGATCTTCCGCCCGTGGATTCAAAGCAGGGTCCAGGGACGGGATTTGCTTGGCTGTAGATTTCAGGGTTTTTTTTGGTCTTGGGGCTTTTGCGGCTTTAGCTTATGGCATCTTCTAGAAGTTTTGATTTGGCAGGTGTCTGGTTCCACCGTCCTGGTGCCCGGCTCAGACGGTGTCAAGCACGACGTACAATATGCGGCTTTGTAAGCCTTGATAGAAGGGTAGATTTTCTTGATGATAGGACAATCGCAGCAGAATGTATTCGTTGCTACTTTAGTTAGTAGAGTCGGGCTTTTGCGATTGTAAAAAACCGGTAGTGAACAAATGGATTATGCACATTGGCCCTTGGAATATCTAGCAGAAAACATGGGTTGCTCATTCTAAATTCGTTCTGCACGCATGTATCTGATGCTGGGCGCCGGCGTCAGTCAGCAAGGCTTAGGGTCTTGGGCGCCTATTGTCTGGGCCGAAGGTGCTACAAAGCTTGGGCAGTAGGGTCTTTTTCCTCGGAAGTCGTTGAAAACACGATAATCATGGAATGAAAAACAGAAAGGCATGAAACACTATGCTCTGGGGGGGGGGGGGGGGGGNNTGGGGGGGGGGGGGGTGGTCTAGATGTCCTTTCTGAGTAACCGCTCAAGTCATGGATGGTCTCGTGTTGAAAAGCAGCGTCTGCTTTGGGAGGGAGAAGGTCACCAGCAGGGGTGATCGCGTTTGCGGTGTTCTAGGATGTTCGGTATATTGGTGTCGTGTCTGTTTCAAAGCCACTTTCGTGTCGATGGTTTCGCATGCGAAGCTCATGGGTGCCCAAAGTCTCTGTGGATCTTCGCTGCAGATAGTATGGGATTTCAGAATGGGATCCCAATACAGACCTTGCATGGTAGGATCATTATGAAAATATTGCCAAAGCCAAAATTCATCACCCCCAGTGTTACGACGTCCCCGGATCTGACACTCGAGCCCGAAGACTGAACCCACGGATGCCGAAAAGGCTTCAGGATTGACATACACGGTAGCTTCTAGCCGTAAACCTGTGCAAGGCTCAGACGCTAAAGGCTCAAGGCATGTAGGTCCTCGACTCAGCTGGGGTGAAGTCCCAGAACCTCAAGTCTAAGACTCGTTTTCCGAAGGCCCCAAGTCCCAAACCTCTCTTGAGGGTTCCTCTACACACCCAAGATAGGCAAGGAGCCTTCGGCAGAGTTGAGGTCCCTATGCGGTCCGGTAAATCAGAACTTCGAGTGAGGGTTCGTTTCGTGTGTATTGTGTTCATGACCCCTCAGCTGTCATGTCCTGAACATGTTTTTCAGCGCCAAGCGTTTCGAAGCGGAGCCGTCGCATCGTCCAAGGTGCCCGACTATCCCCTGGTACCAGTTGGAAACTATGAAGCCATTCTAGGGGTCGGTGCCCAAGTGCTTTGGGCTCTTCGTCGCAACAAGCATGGAGCCTCGGATTACCGGCCAGAGTAATGATACTCCATTCCTCAAAGGGTTTATGGGCTGCTTGGTTCAATTCGCAAACCCTCTGACATCACCGCAGCGATTGCTCGAAACAGAGCTTGAATGTTGAGCACCTACTTGTAGTTTGATAGGAGCTTACTGTGCTTGAGGACCAGAAGAGTCACCCTCACAGCTCGTACTTGGAAGTCCGCTGAACGAGAACCTCAAAAGAACCGTGTGGAAGAGTAGCCTTCGGAAGTATTCTGGGCACAGGGGTTGTATAGTGGAGTTGCATGCCGGAGTAAGAGATCCTCCGAGCCACCTGAAGGACTCTGCACAGCCCAACACCTAAACCTCGAATGCCAGTCCCAGACCCGAAACAAATCCTGAATGCCTCTCCAGTACCTGGTGGCCGCATGGGGCTGGCTCTCCCAACATGGACCGGACGGTGCTAAGCTCAGTCGAGGGGTCAGGAATCCCTAGGCCCTTAGGGTTACGTTTGAGGTTTGATTTGGTTTCTCGTCTGATCTGTAGCCCTACTTCTAAGCTGCTACTAAGTCAAGTCGAATTCGTCAAAATGTACCGACAGGTCAGACGGAAGGTCGTGGTGATGCCCGGATACCGTGCTGTCAGCTTCGTAACACTCCTGCAAACGACAAAGATCTGGCAGTTTGCCCTTTGCTTCTGCTTGTTGGTACTTCTGCTACACCGAGGAGAATGATGTCAGAGGGCCCCGCCCCAAGTCCCAAACCCTCCAACGCAAAGGTCGACCTCTGAAGCATAAGATCAAGACCCAAATCATACGCCACGTGGCCGCTCTAGCACATACTTACTCGGTCCCCCTGTCCTCTAGTGAAATCCTTCCCAGACCATAGTTTCCGAAAAAATACTGACTTACTGTACTTGCAAAGTTGCTGCTCGGAAGGAGGAGGATCCCAACAGTCGACTTTGCTTGACGATGTGTGGAGTCGGTTTACAGATCATGTTAGGGCTTCAGGGTCTGGGCATTTGAGGCTGCAGGATTTCAGGTATTGGTTTGGGGTGTAAGGCTTAAGGGTCCGAGCGCTTGTTAGTTTCCTTCTTGCCGGAAGGTGAGGATTGCAGCCGAGCCCCCGTGCCACCAATGTTCGTGGCAGGTGCCGCGGAGAATCTTTCCCAATCCCGGTTTGGATTGGATTTTGGGTGTTCACCCCCCCCCCCCCCCCCNNCCTTCCCCCCCCCCCCCCCCCCAACATCTTGTGCTGAATCCTCCTTTGTTGAGACATGACTCCTAAATGAAGCCTTAATCCTGATTCTGAACTCCAGACCCCTACGACGTATTGCAGAGGGGTTCGGGTACTGAGCTCATTTGGCTCGTTTAGCCATGGGAACATGAGGCCTGAAACCTGCACCCAGGGACCCATGACCTCGTTGCTTGCAGTTCGCTCGTTGTTTATCATTCTTAAACCCTGCACCCTCACCACCTGAGCCTCCAGAAAACACATCTGATGTTTAAGAACTGGGCTCAAATATTCGCCGACATCCTTTAGCTTCAACCGCCTCAGACACCCGCTCTCAATCCCTGCACCCTTCCGTTTTCGTGTCGTGCCAACTCTGAGCTGCCACAATCCTGTTTAGGAAGCTACTCATTTCAGAAACACAGGAGCAGACTATGTGACATGGCTATGCAATCCGTTGAAAGCCGTTTACACAACACCAAGGGAAGCACGACACTCATCCAAATACCAACCACCCCATCAGCAAACCTGCGCAAACTCATTGAGCAATGGAGGCAAATCCTATATTATATAGCATATTCTAGCAAACCCTAACCCCTCCGAGCCCTAGACCAAGTGCTTGTAGGGGACTCCTCTGGTGCAGCCTCTGCGCTGTCCTTGCAGCTTGGGACAAGCAGTTGGTTCATCGGGGCTTTGGGTGGGCATATGCAGGAATAATGTCGGGTTCTTCGTGCTTTGCAGGGGCTGCGGAGGGTGGTCTGTCGGATTAACGGGCTGCGGGGCTTGGGTTCAAGACATCCCCACATAGATGCTGCAGCCCAAGAGACCAGCGTGGAGGCCGACTCATCCCAGTTCAGCATCCGAATGTAGAAGCATACATCAACCGAAACATGGAAACCCAGCCTCTGATAGAGCAACTGCCTTCAACAGTTTGTTGCACGTTTAGGTGCTGTGGGAAACCCTCGTCTGATTTCCTGAAGCCTTTACCGTATTTCGACTCTCAATCGAAGTCCTTCGGTTGGGTCGCATAGTTTAGTGGATTGTCCGAACTTGCACATACCTTGACCCAAAAGCGAAATATCCTCAACAATTTTCTTGTCAACCCTGACACGTAGACCCTCGTCATCCCTCTGTAAACCTACACCCTAAACCCAAAGCCCCGAAAGCCCTACACTAAACACACCTTGCGCAAATCCTGAGCCAGGATCTCCCCTGTCTCCAAGCTCCCTTAGTTCGTCCTATGTAGCCTGAGACGGAGTATTCCTCAACTGCAAGGTGTTGGAGTCTCCGGGAAGCTGTCTGACCCGAAGCCCTCACTGTTCAACGCTCTCCACACCCGCCAACCCTTTACATGCGATCGGCCTCCCAGGCTTCTCATGTTCCTAGATCGTGCAGGGGGCCCGAGATCCGGGTCTTTTTTCGGGTTTGGCGCTTAGGGGTTGGGGTCTTGAGGCTCAGAGTGTTGAGGTGATGGTGTGTGGCTCAAAAAGAATTGACAATGGACTTTTTGCGGCTTGAGAGCTGGAGGTTTGGGTGTTGTTTGGGGCCTCGTTTTGACGCCAGCCAGCTCGTTGTCTGCTGCAGATGGAAGAGTTCGCTAGGTACTCATGGATGAACAATGAAAGGATCGTCATCATCACTTCAGTGCAGGCTTGTGGCTGTCGTTTACTGGTTTGTGGAGGTTCTGTTGCGCAGCATGGGCCGCCCCCTGTGTTGAGTGTGGCATGGGAAAAAGTTGCCTGTGTTATTGTGAATGACTCGGTTAACGGTTGTGAGCACGAGCGATCGAATGCGAGACAAATCAAGTGAAACGCCCCGCTGCGCCAACAACAGTGGTGGTGATGAGACGACAAGGAAGGGGTGCATGAGGGTCAGGGTGAGGTTTATGATGATGGGAAGCACCCAACCCCAATTCCCCGAGCCCCGCAAATTGGCAAAGCTGCGTTTGCCACAGGGAGACCTGCCCACCCCGGCCGGCTTCCTGGGCTTTAGCCCTTGGATCAACCTAGCCTGCGACTCCCCGACGTCGGGGAACCCAGGAGAAGGGCTGTTGGCACTTGAGAGCTTTGGGGGGGTTAGGATCTAGGGTTCAAGCTCCCGTCGAGGTAGTTTTTCTTGATACGACCTCGTGTGGAAGGCGGTATCTGTCAGGAGTTTCACGGAGCGAAGGGTTTGAGATCTTTTTCGGGTCTCTGGAGGGATTGGAAACGCTGAGGCAGTTTTGGGTATTGTTGCGGTGATTCGGTGATGGAAGACAGCTTCAGGCGGTTGCGCTTGACCGTTTAGACTGTTACGGTTTCGGGCTCTGCGGCGTTGCGGCGTTTGTCGTCCTGACAGTCAGAAACAGAACGCTCATGCAGATGGCCTTCATGATGACATGGTGACTGTCGAAGTATTTACCCGTAGCAGGAGTTTTGATCGTTTCATGGTGAGGTAATGTTCAGCGGCCGCAGGGAGTTTTTGGAGCAGTTCCGGGTCGATCGCAACCATGAACCTTTTAGCCCTAAAGCCTGAACCCTCAATTCCTGAAGCCCTGAAGCTATGTAATCCCTGGCTGTTGCGGTTTTTGTGGGATCGGCCCAATCGGAACCCGGGAAGTCGTGTTCGTCCTGTGCTATGGTCGTCCGTGTGCGTTTTCACATCAGTTGAAGCCAGAATCGCGCACGTTTGCCAGCCAGGGCAACAAGATTGTCACTCGGAACAGTAGTCCAGGAAATGTCGGATATGGTAAGCATATGCAGGGGGCTTCGGAATTCAACTTCTGGGTAAGGCTTGAGCAAGCGCGCAGGCACCAGTGCGATGCGTTGCTCAAGACTGAGAGTTTGCCAAAACGTTTGGTTTTGGAGCGGGTCCCATGCATTTGTCAACTCACCGTCGAGTTGTCTGAACTGACTAGATCGTTTGAACCCCACCAAGCAGAAACTCGCATCGATGAAGGCAGCGTCAGGGACAAGAGAGCCTTTGTCAAAGGGTACACTGACTGTGCTAGTAGGACTGCTGGTAGGACTGTAGCGGTTTATGCAACTTGAATAGGTCCGTGGTTGCAAACAGGGTTTAGAGTTTAGAGCATGCGGGCCTGAGCCCTCAGACCCGCAATGCTGTTGAGGCCCTTGAGCCCTACATCCAGGTACTACAGCAATGCCTTCTCTTTGGTGGAGGACACCAACGGCAAGGCCCGGACGGCAAGTGCCGGCTTCGGAGTTGAGCTAGCTGCTTCGGCTTGAGGGTCTATAGGATTTAGAGTTTGGCCGGACGAAAAGGTGTAGAGTTTAGACCACAAGCTTCAAGAGAACACAAATTATCAAGGGCTGTGGGGCCTCTGTTGGCTGGGGTTGAAAGTTAGATCGGGACAGAGTCGGCCAGGGGTTTGGGACGTCAGCTGTGGAAATTACCCGAGGCTCGAACACAGACCCCTCAAGTCACTTAAAAGAAAGAGCCCACGCAAACGTGTCCTACCCCAACACGGGTTTAAGATGGGGCCATATTCAAACATTAGCATGTTCAGATCCTACGAAAAGCCCTAGACTCTTGCCTTCTTTGTTTTGTTTGTTCAAGGACATTGTCGGGGACATCCTCTTCCGTGGGGCCCCGCACAACATCAGCAACTCGCAGCGGACCTGGGAGTGCTCCGAAGGGTTTGAGTCTTGGGTTCTTCTGTAGATGCGTCTGTTGCGATCTGAGTCTGTATTGGGGCGCATTAGAGACTATTAGGCCCTTTGTTTTGTAAGCCTTTCTTGAAGGTTTCTGCAGTTCGGGGCCTAGGTTGTCAGGAACAGGGTTAAGGTTAAGGGTTCATGTTTAAGCTTACGGCTCAAGAAGTGTAATTCCGATTTAGGGGCGACATCGTTCCCTGATTTTTCGAACTGCGCAAGACATTGAGTGACTGGTCTTCAGCGTTTTAGGCCAGGGTTTAAGGTTTGGATGTAGTTTGGGGTTTCGGATTTTGCGTTTAGGGCTAGTTTAGGGTTTTCGCTTTGGTCCATCCCGCGATGCAAGACGATGGAGAATCAGAGCAGTAGCTGGTAGCCGGGCGACGGGTGTGCTGTTACTGCTGAAGGTTTGCAACATAGCCGAATTTTCAAGCTCAAATCCGCAGCCCTTCAAGTCACCAAGCCAAGTAACAACCAAAAACACTAAAGACTGTTGACCCTTCACCCCGACAAAAAGCTGGTGAGCTCATTGTTTTGGAGCCTCAAGCAGGAAGGAGAGCCATGGAAGGTGAAAACGGAGGGTTCTCAGCCCTTTCCAACCCAGGCTGCGAGAGCTGGCATTGAAGTACTTCGCAGGCGCAGAGTCGAGGCGCACGTGTTCTTACTGGGAAGCGTCTCCATTTGTAAAGTTGTTTACATGATCGTTGAGACATCGGGTTCTTCGTCAAGATATAAGTCTTTGATGGCCGGACAGTTTCTTGGAACTCGTTTGGAGGGTCGAGGTTGTGGGGTTTAGGGCCTAGGGCATCCTTTTAACTGTTCAGGCTTTCCACTTTCAGGTCATATTTTCTCTCGGAGTTTCTCGGATCTGTGTTCGTGAGCTCGTAGACCTTCTCGCAGCCCACATGTATGTGTTGACATTTACGTCGACACACTACCAAAACGGTAGGGTATGGTAGGCTTGCTAGTAGCAATTGAAGTAGGAAGCTGAGCCAAACTCTCTTCGTGGAGGCTGCGCGATGCACAGTTCTCCCCCTTCTATGCCAGCGAGGCCTCCCTTACCTGATCTCTTCCACAAACCGGACCATCAAGCCCTAAACCCCAAAGCCGCCAAAGCCCTATAAACCCTAGCAGGCCCTAGCAGGGACAACGACTGGGAGTCGGGTCTCAGGCTTTTCCCGGTAAGAGATTCGGTTCTGCTTTCAGGGCTTGTTAATCTAACAGGTGTTGACTAAGAACCTTTTGGAACCTTCAAAACTTGCGGTAGCTTGAGTTCAGCTCCTCGGAGGATTTGATTGGGCTTGAGGTTGATCTAGGGCCAGGGCTTTGGGTTTAATTTAGGGTGTTAGGATTTTGTGGGTTTTGCAGGTCCGCAGAGTTTAGGATAATCGAAATTAGGATGCTGAATGCCACGATTGTGCCAAAGACACAACCAGTCTGGCAGTCATGATCACGACGAAGACTGATGTCGTTCACACGGCCGCTGAACATCAGCTGTCGCATGGCTCGAAGAATGAAGGACCGTAGGTTCATTCAAAGCGACAAAACGGTCAGGAGCCGTCCCCACAGGACGAACCTTTTGAGAGGCAACTAACATGGCGTAGCCAATCCGGGAGTCAACGTGATTAGAGTCATGCAGCTAATGCGGAGAGCACGGACTATGCAGAGACTTCAAATCAAAAAGCACAAGCATGAAGCTTGTTACTTGTAGCCCTGACTTCGGGATGTTGGCCAGCCCGGGCGTTGGGGTTGGCCTGCATCCACATGTGCCGAGCCATCGCCGGCTTTGGCGCTTTTGGTCCCCGCCAGAGCACTGCACGCAGGACCTCCCTTAGCCTTAGCCTGGAGAACCTCAAAATAAGGAAGGATGCCTGCCTTTTTCTTTGAGGTTTGATGGCTCTTTAGGTTTTTCTTCGTTATTTCCTCAGTTGAGGTTCCGGCAGTTTTCTTCCCATGGTTCCAAGCATGTTTGCCGCGGTCGGGAGAACCCGACGTAGTGGGGGCAGGGAGCTGGATGGACATGGCTGCGTCCTCCTCCCGTGATCTCCATAGTGTACTCCCATCCGTCACTTTTCACAGGCTCTTGAGGGAAGTTGGCATTTCTATGTTGAGTAGTTGGTATGGCTTCGGGCCAGGGCTTACGGGCACTGCTACACTTCTTCGCGACAGCAATTGTTCCTGTAGACCCTTAATACTTTCAGCAGGGTTTTCGGGGTAATACGGTATAATTACTGTCATAGTACAAGTGTGCAGGGACACTACAAGGGATACTACTGCAAATTACAAACTATGCACCCTTGGGTTGCGGAAGCCTCCCTAAGCTGTCTTCTCCCTGTAACTTTTGTGGAAAGAACTGAACGTGGCCTGATCTAGGATGCACAACGCTATGTTTGTTCGTGTCTAAGTAGGCCCGAAACTCTGGTCCTTCGCCCCCACGCCCTCCACCCGAAGCCCCGACCAACATTGGTTGACGCCCAACACAAAGCCTAAGGCCCGAACACTCTTAGGAGCTCACAGCGACACGTATTTTCAGCTGGCGGGGCCCTTCCTTTCCGGGCCAGGGATTCGGGGGCCTGAAGACGATTTCCACAGTTGTTTGCAAATCTTACTCTTGTGATATGCTGTCACGACGCATCAGGGCTGGCACTTGGTTTGCTTCCTGACATCGCCCAGGATCTGGCGAGCGTCTTTTGCTGCGCATGTATCTGGTCGTTTACGAGTTTACCCAGAGGGTCCAAGGGTTTCAGGTTTGGTTCAGGGTTAGGGTTGAGGCTTCGAGCGCTTTCCGATGTCAGAGCTGCACTCGGCCTAGATTCCCCGGCTGTCACCTGAAGGGGGAACCAGTCGGAACAACCAAAGTGACGAGAAATTAACAACCCAAATCTCAATTTGAAGAAGTACCCATCCAGCTCTAGCGGCCGGCGTCATGAATACATACAGAGTTGGTCTGAAAGCCCAGGCGTCGTGCATCAACGCCAGAGTCGCCGTACGGTGGCCATGGCTCCCCAGAAAGCCGCCGGCGAGGCGTGCTGGTCTACCTTGAAACCCCTAGACCCGGAGATCCCACTACCCGAATTTTGGAATGCTCCTTCGATTCTCAGACAAGACTTCACAATGGTCTTCTCTTGAGCATTACGTGGGAAAGCCCTCGAATTCCTGACCTCCTTCGCATGTAAAGGATTTGAGTTGTGGAGCTGAGGTTTTATGGATGGTTCTGTAAACTGCGGTCCTTGGAGTTTGAAGTTTGGGGCTGGGAGTTTAGGTGAGGGTCCTTGTCGGGGTCCTATGTTTTTCAGAGTGCCGCACTCTTCTGCGGAGCCAGAAGGGACATCAACTTCTTAAAGAGCCGCCCAGATGCTAAAAATTACTGCGGCA